CTTACTTAACATCTCAATAACTAGAACTTTCCATTGGGGATAGAAATATGCTATTTTTATTAATATTAACTATTTATAATATTAACTATTTTTGAGGCAACCATCTTTCAGATTCATTATTTTTCCATCCGGGCGGTATATTGGTTTCCAGGGGTCCTAATACGAGTTCAGAGTCATCATTAATAAGTCTACAATATAATAACTACTCTCATTTGGGGTAAATTACTGAAATAATCTCAACAACATAAAATAGAATAGAAAAAAATTTTAGGCTAGATTTAAGATATGGAAATAGTTTTTGTTTGTTTAGAAAATAGCTTCTTAAAAATTAAACAGTTTCTTAACAATTGACAAATTATTTGACAAGTGTGAGGACTGCGCTTGTAATCAAACAGATTATGCATGTCTTGTAAAAATCAATGCACACTAAAAAGTTATCATAATGCTGTAATATGAAAAGGACACTTCTCACAATTACGAGTGTTTTGCATTATTTTATATATCATTTCCATGTCACTTATCAGGTAGGTTTGACTCACTGCAGCGATTACCTACAATCAAAACAACTACAATGTGACGCTATGAGACATTCGATATTAACACTCGATTTCAACTATCTACATAATCGATTGTTCTATCGACTTGTCCCGATAGTTGTAGTTGTACACTATATTTCAGCTCCACAATGATTCATCCACCACGGAATAAAAACTACACATTTTCTCTTGGTATATAATTCAAGATTTTTCTTTATTATGAAACTATTTCGTTAGTTTTAAAAAGTAAAATGTCAATAAAAAAAGGCATTCTGACTTAAAAAGGTCTATGGAAGTAATTTTTCAAAGTATAATTTTCTACTGTTAACCATTTTGTTTATGCTATTATAAATTTTATTTTTAGGTTTACAACATTGCCAGTGTATTAAAGTATAATTAGAATTTGTTTATGTTATGCTATAGTTTTAGTAGGATTAATTATCCATAAAACTGCCATGAGAAGGTTTAATTTGTGCAGTTTTTGGTATTTGTAACGTTGTCAGCTACACATTATTTTACTATTTGAAAACTAAGTTTGTAAAACGTTAAAAGCCATGTTATTTTAAAGGGTTAAATTGCAGTCAATATTATGATAGTATTAAAATATGTAATATTTTATAGCTTATAAATATTATTATATAAACCAACCAACAGACTATATATTTTTAATTAACTCAATTGATATTGGAAGTAACGGATATTCCACTTGCAATGTCGGTAACCTGGTAGAACAAGCTAGTGCTGCTGTTCTACTGCAGCGGCCAACCAAAGAACTACTTCAGCGTTTCCCATTGTTACTACCACAACAATCAATAATGGTTAGTAAAAATTCCGTCTTGATATTTTAAATAATGTCATACCCATTATTTTAAGTTATTTATATTTAAGTTTGGTATAATCAGTATTAGGTGTTGGATTTACTTTAAACAGGTGAATTTGGTTTAGTGCAGGTAGAAATTTAACGCATTTACTTTCCCATTCCTACTGATAACTTAATTACTAATCAGAAATTTCATGTATTGTATTTGCCACACTTAAAATTACATTATGTTACATCGTAATAAGGCCAGGGTTTGGACAGTTTATTTTCAAAAACTTAAATAAATGTAAATGGTATAAAAAAAACTAGAAACACACAAATAAATACTTTTTTGTCTATTTTTGCCTGACGTTTTAGGCTGAAAAATCTGTTTGAAAATTTTGTAATTGCATTTTCACACAATAATTCATGGATAATAAATTTCGTTGTTACAATTTACATTTCTAAAATCCACACCTTGAAAGAAATTTTGAAAAAAATACATTATTTGAAATGTAGATGTCAAAACCTATACGTGCTAATTAATAACAAATTGTGATATCGTTTTACTTGTGAAAGGGTTTTCTTTATATACAAACACAAACAGCTATACTTTCATTATATATGTAAAGCTATCAAATAAGTGTAGCATTATAGTGACTATCGGGTATTAGTATAAAGAAAAAGCCCAGCAAAAAACAATTTATTAAAGCAAAACATTTAAACTAGATAATGTAAGGCCAGCTTGCCGTATATACATCTATACATTCGAGGTAGTTACAAAATACAATTATATAAGCATTTATAAACCAAAATATAAATACAAATTTACAAGGTTTAATAAATAAAACTTCATAATTTTTTTATTGAAGAGAGTCAAATATACCAAATATGAACAATTAGAATTGATTTTTTAAGTAATTGAAATCATATAATTATTTTATTCTGTGGTGCGGTAGGGTAAAAATGCTATATATTTCTTAAAGAATATTTGTTTTTTAGTAAGTTTATGTCTATATCAATGTAAAAAGGAATATTTACAAAATAAACATTTAAATAAATTTAAAATTGGGTTTATACAAAATTTTACAATATATTTGTATAGTTTCATAATTTGTTTGTTTGCATGATTTTGGCGTACTGTAAACACTGAATAAAAACATTTTGAAAGTTTATAACCACTATCTATAATACAAACTAAAACCTTCGGTAAAAAAATACTTTCAACAGCTTTATTATTAGTTTTATATATTGTATGTGATTAACATATAAACTGATATCCTTTAAACGTTAACGGAGTTAGGCTAGAGCTGATAACAAAATTATATTTTTTTATATCGTTTCAAAATATAAATCGTACTAAATTGAATTCATAAACTAATATATTTTGGAAATATAACTATATATAAATATTTCTGTTTCGTCTACTAAGACACAAAATCACAGAGTGTTTTTAATGTGTAAAAGTTTGTCTTGAAGCAATGTAAAAAATTGATGAAAATAAGCCTAATTACAATAAGCTTTTGATTATCCGTGAAAATATACGTGCTTATAGCCCGCTGGAGTACAAATACATTGCGTTATACTCATGTGATATAAATTGTATTTGGTACATTAGAATCTAGTTTAGTACAAAATGAAGTTTGCTTGTAGAACTATTACTACACCGATGGTGTTAATGTGTGAAAAATAGAATTGTATATAAATCTACTGAATAAATTTGTCTGTTCGGTAACAGACACGAACAAAAACTCAAGTAAAATTATCTTAACAGCTGTCAAAATTATACTGCCTGTTTTCCTTTTAGAAAAATAGATTTTATAGTTGTTTTTTTTTAGTTTTTAATTTGTTTTTATATTTTGACTATGTATTTCACTTAAAAACTCTTGAAAAATCCAAGGGAGATTTTTTGGAAATGATATTAGTTGATCACTATGTCAATAAAAACAATCACTACAATCTTCATACACACTATGTAACTGCTTTGTAATTTTAACATACATCTGATTGAAACACATCTGATGAAATATTTAATCATTTAAATTTATTTAAACAATTTCGGTAACATTTTTTAACATTTTATAATTATGATTCATGTGATTACATTATTTACCTATCCATTGATACATACGTATCTTCTTAACAATATAATATCATTTAAAATACTGTATGTTTACAGCCTTATATGACTTATTATTTTCATTCAATTCAAAACGTACTATGGATACTGCAACTAGTAGGTACAGTTGTGATTTAAACTCCCCAAATAATTGTGGTTTATAATTTTGCAAGAACGAGCTAAAAATGATTATTGACAAATGGCTCAGGCTGTTGATTATTAATTTTTAAATACAACCCAACTATTCCAATAGAAAATCCTCAAATAGCTGAAAATAATTCAGTTATCACGATCGTAACTCTTATTAAAAGGTCAAATGAGGGTACAAACATAGCTATTTTCATTTGTTCAAATATTTGGACTGGAATCACTGAAAAATAATAAATAAACTATTTAACTAGTAACTATTTGTAAAATATTTTACATTAATATGCATAAAAACAGCTTATAGGACGTAATACAATGATATTTTCCACACATTAACTTATATTCTAAATAACCTTTAAAAGTACATGTAACAATAATTCTTATATTATAAAAACTAACTTTAATCCTATACTATTGGCAGTATTACACAGTATAATAAAATACATTGAAATATTTGTATTACTACGATTGTTTCAACATTGATGTTGTATTATATTTTGATTTAGTTTTGATTGAACTTAGTGTGCAAGTTCGCTATTCATTGTCAGTATTTTCAATACTAGAATACATCATTTGACTGATTAGATTGGCATTTCAAGGTTTTAAGCCAATACAATATTTGCACACACTCCATTATCACTCGATCTATTATACGAGCTTTTCCAAATACTATATAAAATGTAAATAGGAAGATTTGAAGTTTTGACTTGGTTTGTTTTGATTATGGTGCAAATTTCTAAGCATGTAATTTATTCCTGTTATGAATTTGTTAGTAACCCAAGGGAAAATCACCTATCATAACCATAGTAGCCTGGGTAAAGTATGATAGAACAATTAATCAATTAGTAAGTAATAGTATTAAAAATGTCAAACCTTTTTAACCGTTAAAAATGAACGAACATAACTTACCAAATGACATACCATCGTTGGTCCAAAATATTATTTTTATTTTAGTTGAGTTCTTAAGTAAAAGTAGTAATCACATTTGACATACTTTGCTCCAGGGGTGGCATCTTTGGGGATCCTGTAAATTACTTATTGGAGAACTTGGGAAGCAAGGTAATTATTTTAATCTATATCTTCTTGAAATTGGAAAAAATTAACTATGAGTAGCTATGAGTAACTTAACTATGAGCATTGTTGTTAATCAGAAACCATGAAACCAAAGTTAGGTATAAAAATAAAATGTTGATGTTTTTCTTACTATTACAGTTTTCCTACTAATATTATAAGTGTATTTTATAAACAAAGATAAATTTTTCTCTGAATAGTGATTATTTTATGTTAATTCATTGACATAGTTTTACAAAGGTAGAAAATCTCGATCAAAAGCTCTGGAAATGTTCAGATATTCAATTAGGTCTAAAATACTTATCGGCAAAATTCTCTTGACATATAAACTTGAAGGTAACTTGTTACATTATTATGTTTAGACGGTTTCAAACCATCAGTCATGCTCCGGTGTCGTTGAAATGGAACTTGTCATCAACCAGGTTTTAAGTATATGAAAAGGATTGTAAACCAAACATTGCTGGCCGAAATTTGTCATATCATTCAATTCTGGTGGTTGATGAGTTAATTGAAGCTCCAATTTCGTTTATTTTCTTCTTGGTTATTTCTCTGCTGACTGTTTACTTGGATTATAAGAAAAATAATATCTTTCAAGAATTCCAGAGTTTACAGTCTATGATATTTTAATGAAATTAAGATCTAGCTTTTTTTGTATTCGAATAGATTATTTCGCCAATCTTCCCTTAATGAAGTGAGATATCTCTCTAGTGGTCACAGTTCAGTTTGTCCATTATAGTAATGGTAGTTGTTTTCACTCAATCGTCGACCAGTTCCCACAACATGAGGGAAGCGTCTGTGCCTCCCACTGTGACGATGTTGCGATCGTTGAAGAGAAATTTGGCGGCGGCCACGACTAGACTGTACACCTTCTCTTCATTGTACTCCGCTTTTGGGCTGAGACAAGGATATCTGCGGACAAAGGTGTTAGAAGATAAATATAAACAATTCAAATACAGTACGAACAACGTAAATACGTAAATTAAAAGTAAACTCTTCATCTTCATTTTGATGAACAATTACTGTTGTAACCCACCGAAAGCATTGCAGGATAGTAATTTTATTTTTATTTCAAAAAGGTCCATAATAAAAGAATATTTTTTAATAGATTCAATTCCAATAATGATTTATTGGATAAAAGGAGATTTGGTGCTATAAAGGATACAAATATATTTTTAACTCGTTAATTTTTAATAATCTACATACAAATCACTAAACTGTAAAAAAAAATACAAACAAACCGTCTGTGTTGATAAGTATAAAAGAAAGACATAAATGATATACTGTTATTGGTTCTATCAAGATAATGAGATTGTAAAAAAATGTGTTTAATCAAAGACGTTACAATGTGTTGTTTATCTTATTAAACTATTTAAAGGGAAAACGTAATTCTAAAATATTTTTACCGCTTGGAAAGGTCAAAGTCAAAACTACTATGTAATATTGTAAAACAATGCAATATTGCCATAATTTCAATTATAAAACATTTACAAATTGAATTACTTATTCATGCTCAATATTATAGAAAAACATAGTAAAACTAGAAAAAATACAAATACTTGTACTCGTAGAATTAAACTGTGTTAAAATAAACAAAATATTAAGTTATTCAAGGTAAAAAATCTTAACATCGTAAATGTATTTGAAACTCAGACAATGATGGTATAGTTTTACAATAATAGGTTAGTATAAAAGTAGTATTGTTTTACTTTAAAAAAAGTTATTGCTCTACCTGAACAGTCTGATGTACCCCTCAGCGTCCCCAGCCACCAGAAGATCATGCGCGGCTGATCTGTTGACCGTCGTCACCATGGAAGTCATGGGGTAGTACCGGTTGTTCCATATACCTACAAAATAACAGTGTTTTAGGACTTGGATTAAAATGAATTCCTCATAGAAACAAATTGGCAAAAGTCACAGTGGATTTTCCAGCAATACATTGCGGAGCATGGTGTCAAAATATGTAATTCATTTTATATTATTATTACCTGTAAACACACATTCTGGAATGTGGAATGCGCGACTTTTCAAATAATTAATTTACAAAAAATGTTATTACATCGTGGAAATTTTATGGGAATTGTAAAAAAATATTTGTAATAAAATTACCCCTCATTGGGTGGAATGGGTTGATGTATACGAGATTTCAAAACAGTTAGCAACAATAATGCATAGAACTGTTTCTATAAATCTAACAAACTATTTTACTCAGATGAAAGGTCGTATGAAGTACCAATGAAAATGGCATAAATGTATTTTTGTGAGGTTAAACAGCTTATCAAAAGACAATTGTCACTAAACATTGGAAAGGTATATTAGTTTTTTTAAAGTACAGGAATTTTTAAAAGAATGTTTGGTACACTCTTGAATGTTTTGAAGTCATAATGATGAAATATTTACTTAATGCCTTGCAAACTCTAAAGACGTTACTTTCTTGAATAATAGACACTTGATTTTTAGTCCAGGAGCTGAGGGGGTTTGAGCATGCATGAAAGTAGTTCGCAATGTTATTGCTGATTATTGTAATATGGACTGTGGTGATCAAAATTACGTATGTCGCCTATTTCAAAAGTGGTCGATAAGGTGGGGGGGAGGGGGCAAACATGGCGGTTTGCGCTATGCGTTAAAACGCTGATATTTCGAAAACGGTAAAAGATAGAACATCGGTTAAAACGTCATTGTAATTCTAAACATGTGGACTACAATAATAGTTATTGAGTCCGAGGTCGTATCTCTATAAATAAACAAGTTATTGTATAAAATATGTAAAAATGAACATTTCGTGTAGTTTTTTTTTTTTTTTTTTTTTTTTTTTTTTTTACCGAAAGTAGAATTAATTTGTGAGTGTCGCAAAGAAGTAATATCAAATATCTTTGCTGATAGTTGTAATATAGACTGTGGTGATAAAAAATACGCATGTCGCCTACTTTTCAGGTGGTCGAGAACTTGTGGGGAGGCGGGCAAAGATGGCGGGACGCGCTATGTATTGAAACGACTGTAGCTCGATAACGGTACGAGATAGGACATCGGTTAAAACGTAGTTTTAATCCAAAAAATATGGCCAATAGAAAAAGTCATTGGGTAAAAAGTTGTATCTTAACTAATAAAAAAGTCATAACAATAATAAGTTTAACAAAATATACATTATACAGCTATTTTCTTCAAAAATCATATGAATTGTTGATAAAAAATAGTGTAATTACTTAATTACTCGGCTAAATATTAACTAGAGGCATTTTCTTATAAGAAAAAAATATATTATTACGAATACATATGGTTTAAAATGTAAAACACGGCCTCCAAACTACGTATATTACTTGGGGTTTCGCCGCAATCAAATGCATAATACAGATTACCACTACAAATCCAATTTTTATTATAATGTTATAGGTTATTACATTATGATTATGTTACATATTCTTATTAAATACAGTTATATGAAATATAAAACATAACTACAAAAGTAAATACCTTATAATAAAAAATACGGTAAATCTCTTCATTCTGTCCATAACAATTACACTGGTTGTTCATATTATTTGTTGAGTTGAAATAGGTACCTAACTTTTGTAAGTTGGTGAAATTTTACTTTAAAATTGCCTGATCCACTAGTCACTAAGAACAAACGTACATAAAAACCAGCCACACACAATTTAAAAAAAAACGTAAGCAACTTAAAAAAAAAATGTATTGAAATTTAAAATATTTAATTAACTATTAAAAGTTATAAAAAAATGTTATTTGTATAAATAAAACACAATAAATGTCAGTAGTCTTAAACTGTACAAATACTTTCACAACCCCGATATCACTGAGTTAACAGGCAATGAACTTTTGGGGGATTAACAGTTGTGCCGATATCAGCAGTACTGCGCAGCAATTATGACGCAACCTTTCGGACGAACCCCAAGGCGTTTTTACATTTTAAACCATATGTATTCGTAATAATATATTTTTTCTTATAAGAAAATGCATCTGGTTAATATTTAGCCGAGTCATTAAGTAATTACACTATTTTTTATCAACAATTCATATGATTTTTGAAGAAAATAGCTGTATAATGTAGATTTTGTTAAACTTATTATTGTTATAACTTTTTTATTAGTTAAGATACAACTTTTTACCCAATAACTTTTTCTATTGGCCATATTTTTTGGATTAAAACTACGTTTTAACCGATGTCCTATCTCGTACCGTTATCGAGCTACAGTCGTTTCAATGCATAGCGCGTTCCGCCATCTTTGCCCCCCCCTCCCCACAAGTTCTAGACCACCTGAAAAGTAGGCGACATGCGTATTTTTTATCACCACAGTCCATATTACAACTATCAGCAAAGATATTTGATATTACTTCTTTGCGACACTCACAAATTAATTCTACTTTCGGTAAAAAAAAAAAACTACACGAAATGCCCATTTTTACATATTTTATACAATAACTTGTTTATTTATAGAGATACGACCACGGACTCAATAACCATTATTGTAGTCCACATTTTTAGAATTACAATGACGTTTTAACCGATGTTCTACCTTTTACCATTTTCGAAATATCAGCGTTTTAACGCATAGTGCAAACCACAATGTTTGCCCCCTCCCCCCCACCTTATCGACCACTTTTGAAATAGGCGACATACGTAATTTTGATCACCACAGTCCATATTACAATAATCAGCAATAACATTGCGTACTACTTTCATGCATGCTCAACCCCCCTCAGCTCCTGGACTATTTTATCAATGGGATAACCAATGGACATTATATATTTTCCAGAGGACCGTATTTTAATAGCCCCGTTACTGTGTACATGAGTCTCTTGCTAATAAAGGACAATGAAGGTAAAAAAAAGAGCTTGTACCGGTAATCATTTGGTATCCTGTAAAAGCACTAAAACACAAACCTGCTACAAGGAATCCAACAGTGGCGTTATGTGTGTGCCACTTAACATCTTTCATAGCCACCGCACTCTTCTCTACCGACAGATTCTTCAGGTCCCCTGAAAGAAGAAATTATATATAAAATCATGCCGAACCCATCAAAATGTTCTAATGCAAAATGCATGATTCTGCTTTACGCATCACTAAATAGTCCGATCAAATGTCGTTAAAAGTTAGGATATTTTCTATGAACATATCTATGGAATAGTTAGTTTGTCTTCTCTTGTCAAAGAGATATTGGACTCGGCTTAGAGGTTTCCTAGGTACCGTGTTTCCTTGGTAATTAGGGTTGTATCTTTCGGTTTACTCGGATACTACTAGAACATATTTTGCATATTTTTCAATAATAGTTTTTATAGTGATTCGATTCTATAGTTAGATAGCATAATTAATAGGCCAAATATAAATGACAACTGTGTCTTTGTTACTTTGATACATATCATTTTACTAACAACTAGCTGTGTGCCCGTTCTACGCACAGGGATCTTAAAGTAGTCAGTTGAAATCTTCTTATATTAAGAACAGCAGTTGGTTTGCATATATTTAGATATGCTGGCAAAACTATTATATATAAACCTTCGCAAATACAGTATCTGACAGTTTCAAGCCAAAACACATGCTTTGCAATTAAATGTCACCCGGATCGTGTTAGTCCATATGTTAAATCCAATGATTAAACTAAAAAAGCTTTATTATAGGCCTAGATCTATGAGGCATAGCCCTAAGGTAGGCCTATAGTTGAAAGTTGCTTCCCACAATGGTTCAAAGTATTTAAAGTACTACCTCAACCTCGCCATTTAACACTTTATTCGGGTTGACATTTTAATTATCAAGGTGCTCTTGTCCTTTTCGTGACACTGAGAAATAAGGACATTAATGCGTTACTAACAGACATACACACAAAAATACAGAACTTAATTAGGGAATTTGCTACGTTTTAAGCATAACAAAGTACAGTACACTTAAAATTAGTATTTAAAATTTGTATTAATGTCATCAAATTTTATCATACCAATCTATTCTTACTTGGACCGAAGATGACCCAAAATGCTGTCGAAATGGCGTCTTACTATATGAAATGAAGTACTATAAACAATTTAGATTGGCAATTTATAATAAAAATTACCAAAATAGGCCACAAAATATTGATATATAAACAACTTAAATCATAAACAATTCATGATGGTTTGTTAAACAAATGTTTTACTTAAATTAGTTATCATTTTCTTAGCATAAACTAAAATTTTGAATCCATACAGAAAAAGCAAAACTTATACAGTTAAGACATCAATTAAATTGAGTACGGCTATAATACGACTGTATAAATAAGGTGAACACCAACGATAACTAATTTGTAAATTACACTGATATGTTGGTACGTAAAAATGATTCTTGCTGCTGCCAACGGCTCTAAGATTCAAAAAAGAAGCCAGGAAAAGAACCAGTACCAAAAACCAACGTTTACAGTTAAGAATAACGTCCGACAAATTAAATGCGTTAATCAAGTCCCACAGTTATTGATTTCTTGGTTTGGATTTTCTCGTAAAAGGTTATTGGCAATCAAAGTTATTTCCCATTAATTGCTTTATTCGCAAACAACATTTAATGTAAAATTATTGGTGTCAGTTTGAAAAAAAAAACAACCTCATACAGTACAAACAACTGTTTGTTAATAGATTACGTAGGCCTATTCTCTAAACAATGATTCGTATATCTTTTAACATTAGAATGAAATGTGACAAAAATGACACAACACTGGGTTTTTGGACGTTTGTAATTTTATTTCTTAAGTAGGGAGGCAACTTACGCCTCCCCACTCAGCCTATGTATGTATGTATGTATGTATGTATGTATGTATGTATGGTTTCTAGGTTTATTGATGGTTTTATTGCATCATACGGTGAGTAGGAACAGAAAGTGACACATCGGAAAAGCAAGTTTAACATAATCCATAAACCGTAAACCTCTGTTACAATCACCCACTGCAGTTGTGATTTTTTACTTTACACTTTAAACAACCGCCATTGAAGCGCCGTCAATGAGTGGAATCCTTGTTAGTAAGCTATTGGTGACGATCATTAATAAATTCAAGTTTCTCAGCCCTATACAACACTGATTCAAGGTCTTCTTTCTGGTTATCAAAACTCAAGAACAATTTTACACACAAAGAATCTCTGGTTCCTGACCTGGATGATGCCTAGTTATTAATTATTTCATTTACGGTTACACTATATTATTCCACTTGCGATTAATTAAATCCGTTATGTAAGACAACGTTTTTAATGTCACTTGGATGGGATTTACCTTCAAAACGTGATCGGAAATGGTTGCGGTATTTGTAAACAACATTTGTAAACATATCAGTGACAGCTAGAAAAAATAATCTTGATCCGAACAGCTGTTCGTTATTTCATAGATCATTTTGCGATAAAAATTGGACGAAAACTTGACAAAAATCGCACAAAACTGCATTTTTGAACGTCCGTAATTTTATTTACTAAGTAGTGAGGCCATATTTTAATGGCTAAAGACACTCTCGTCAATCCAGTAAATACATTAAAATGATTTGGATCTTGATATGTACTCTCGTTTTCCTGGAGAAGATTGCGTAAAATGCCATCTTGAGTGTTACAGAAAGACAGAAAGACAGACAGACAAGTAGACAGACAGACAGACAGAAATTTAGATGAGACTTGTTTAGGCTTCTTTTATGTATAAAACGTAAAAATAACCTACAAATTTATGATTCTGAGCAATGTACAGACAAAACTCAAATTTTATTTATATAGATGATAAGACACAGTATCCGTTTGGACACAGTAAATAATAATAAGACACAGTATCGATTATATTGAATCAATAATTGACTCCATTGACAGAAATGAGAAGGTAATTGGAATTTTTCTCGACTTTTCGAAAGCATTTGACTCCGATTCACATAAGAAATTGCTAGAAATTCTTCACGGTTTAAATATAAATAATACAGAGCTTAAGTGGTTCGGTTCATACTTGCAAGGAAGGCAACAATGTGTCCAAATACAGCATAATTTTCTGCTTCCAAATAGTAAATACTCGTATACTCAAAATGTTTACTCTGAATTCAAAAATATTAAATGTGGTGTCCCCCAGGGATCTATTTTGGGCCCTCTTTTATTTACTTGTTATATGAGGGGGTTCCCACTAGCTGTCGATGGAGGAAGTTCAGTGTGTATTTATGCTGATGACACCAACATCCCAGTTACAGGCAATTCCCAAGAGGAAGTCGAACTGAAATCTTTTCTAGATCTTTTATCAATTAATGATTTCCCAAGTAGCAAAAATCTCCTAATAAATTTCAGTAAATCAAATTTTATATAATTTTCCACAAAACAATCAAGATCTAAATTGAACCCGAATATTTACCTTGGTAATTCAAACTTGAGTCAAGTGGAGTACACAAAACTTCTCGGATTGATATTGGATCAAAACCTAAATCTGTATAAGCATGTTGAGCATGTAATTGATAAAATGTCAAACGGTAAATACGCCCTGCGACAAATGTCAAGGGTGTGTGATATTGATACTTTAAAAACCATATACTTTGCATTAATAAATTCTCACATATCCTATGGTATAGCAATTTATGGAGGAGCTACCCAGAAAAATTTGGATAACATTCTTCATCATCAAAAAAGCACTCCGAATTATTTTCAAAATTAAAAATTAACGTCAATCAATGAAACCATTCTTTTCTAAATTAGGTGTTATGACAGTCTATGACTTGTATATTTATGAAACTAAATTACATGTAAAAAAACTAAACCTCCAAATTATAAGTACAAATATTCAACACTATAAATTAAGGCATACTAGGCAGGTTGAACGACATAAATTAAAGTTTTTTGAGAAGAAATGTAGTTTCATTGGCATAAAATTCTTATTTAATTTACCTAAAATTATAATAGAGGAAAAAAGTTTTGATGTTTTTAAAAAAAGATTGAAAAATTATCTCCTTTAATTGTCTTTGTATTCTATGGATGAATTTTGGAATTCAAGAGAAAACATAAATGATGGTTTAGAAAGATTATTTCATTTAATTTTGTTTTGTTTATTCATCCTAGGCTTAGCATTTTTTTTGTAAAGATAATGATTGTTTTAGTGATAAGTAAGGCATAATTCATCTTTATATTTATTTGACGCTATTCATTGTATAAAAATTTGTACTGTAAATGAATAAAGATAATTTGAATTGAATTTGAATTGAATTTGAATTGAATTTGAATTGAATTTGAATTGAATTGAATTTGAATTGAATTTGAATTGAATTGAATTTGAATTGAATTGAATTACTAAGCCAGGGCAAAGACACTATTACTGGACACAAGTGCGTAGCGACAGCTGATGTTGCCTTAGCAACCAAAAAATATTATTGTTTTTTTTTGCGTCTTCAGGAATGTAGACTTGAAACTCTTTATTCAAATTAATTTCTTCTCTCTTATTTTTTGACCGAGGGTTTATTTTAAATGTTACAAACCATAAAATCTACTACGACCAAAAGTGCATAGTAAACTAACTGTCATTGGGAATTTTTGTTGAGAGAACATTATGTCTTTGGTTTTTAGTTTATTAAAGTACACCTGTTGATCGTCAATGAACATTCATGATGAAAAAATAAGCATCCATAGTTTTCAAATGCAATGAAAACATAAAATATTGAGAGTTAACTTCTTGGTCAAAGTAAACACTTACAAAAGGTGAGGTCGTAGTCAGCAGTCACTGTTTGTAGAAAGTTGCCGTCCGTGCTCCAGTCCAGCTGTGTGAGGGGCTGCGATCCTCTGATCTTGTTGCTCTTCTTGTACGAGTATCCGTCTCTGCTGACCCTGAACAGGTAGACACTCCCGTTCTGGGACCCGATGGCGACCATGTCACCGGCTGTGGAAGGAGGATTAAATAGTTATGGGAAACTCGAGGTACTTTGAGACATTAAGAAAAACACGTTTCGTCTGATGAAGTGTATATAAATGGATAGATGTCTTATGGATTACTTGATTCATGAGCCCATAAGGTGAAAGGAGAAGAGGGAAGAAAGAAGAAGGTTGGAGAGGAAGAGGTGAAAGACTGGACTGATACAGTAGGATGAAGTTGGGAGTAAGTAAAGAGTCTCTCACACGGATCCTCTCACACGATTCTGCACTCATCCTTCACTCATCCCCATCTCAATGATTGATAATCGATTCAACCATGCTCTATAAGAGTGAAATGAACTAAGTAAAAGTAATGTTTTATCTGGGTTAGAATACAGCTAAAATTTGTTCGTCTACCGTTTTATTATCCGAAGGAGGTTGGACAAATAGCACATTGTGGGGTTGTATCTGACCCCACTAAACTAAAATAATTAGAAGTATGAACTTATCCATATTAGATTTAAATTTAACTATTTCGGGTTTCTTTGTGTTTAATATGAGAATAACTGAGGGTCATTTAAATTAAACTCTATCACAAATAATAGTTATCAGTGGAATCGTAGTTGATTTGGAAATGGGCAAGATGTATTGTGAGGAATAAAATAAACCAAGATAAGTAAGTTGGAGTTAACCTTCAAGTGTGATAATTCAAGGAGTACAAGGATAGGTGCAAGCATAGAATAAGAAGTGGGCCACACAGCGTTTTCCGGTAATAAACTGGTGAATCAAACTACCCGTGCTTCAAGACCCGGCAAAAATTGTGCTTGAAAAATCCAATTGAGGTAAAGAGTGGATACCCTGTGCCCTAAACATAGATTAAATTAGTTGGTCAATTTAGCTTGAGTTGTAAGAGAATATGTCATGGAAGGGGATATTTTATGAAGTAAAACATTGGCTCAGTAGTCTAGCTCTAGAGGAAGTCATCAGGAATAGGATGAGTAAATATATACTATGCATTGGTATATAATACATTCAAACTGCAATGTATTTACCCGGGTTGTATCCCAAACAGCTGAGAGGGGACCCGCACACTCTGACGGTGGCGACTACAGCTCCCGTCTCCGCGTTCAGGACTACAAGATGTCCTTCAGTGGAGCCTGCTGCTAGCGCTACACCGAACGGGTGAAAACTCAGGCTGACACATTCGAAGGCCACCTAAACACATAGAGGAGTGTAAAATCACATGTATAACTTAAATACGAACTTTTGAAAGCGTAAAATTAATTATTGAATTAAAATGTATGGTAACTTCAAAACCTTAACTGCAACTAGCAAGAGGAAGCATAGTTAATTTCATTTCTTGAATATTCATAGACCCAATAGAATCCAAAACCCAACTGTCACTAAAAAAACCCTATTTTTACAACGTGTTAAATTTAAATTCACACACAACCTGTATAAATACTTTTAACAAAACTGATATTCAATAAAAATCGTAAACAGTATAATTTTCATCTAAAATAATTTACAAGATTTTCTTCTCTAATAAGGACTAATCTCAATAATATACCACTATGATGAAAAATTTCGACCCATGATTGAATGATTTGTGTAACAAAATAAGACAACAAAATTATAAAACATAAAAATAAATTAAGACGAATCTTTTGTACATCAAAAGAAGGGAAGCAATATAGATTAAAAAATAATAAGGAGCTGGATGATCTAGTCCATGGTGAGGATAGGATGATAAAATAAATAACGTTAAGATGGCTCGGTCATGTAGTGAGAATGGGGATTAAGAAAGGATATAAAATTAGTACATGTTCAAATGCATGGAACAAGAAAGATAGGTAGTCCATGGTGAAGATGGTTGCAGGATGTTAAAAGGGATTTGAGAATTTGGAGAATTATGAATTAGAGACAGAGGGCAAGAAACATAGAATATTGGAGACAAATTGTGATGGAGACCAAGGCTCATCGTGGGCAGTAGCACCAGAGGGTAAGGTGAGGTAAAAATGAAAATACCTGTGACGTCCATACTGGTTTGTGCTTCCTCCAAAGTGCGATGTTTTTGTCATGACCAGCTGTAGCAAACAGTTCATCATCAGGGTGCACAGCCACCCCCCACAGCTGTCTGCTGTGGCCGAACACTACCTGTGGTAAGTTGTTGATTTTAATTTACAATAAATTATGGCATTTAAATAGCATTTGATAAAGCAGTTCACTTAACATACGATTAAATTAGTATGTTACATATATCGTAGATGAATATTGGTGTAACTTTTGAGTAGACGTAGGCTATAATTCATAGATCAGATGTATACAATTCCGTACTCATATAGAACTTATTTAAATACCAAAAAGTCCTCCTGTTGTATTATGCAAGTATTCATTGAGAGCAATTCTTAAGATTACAAATTCTTAAGGAAGCTTAGAAGACCAACCTGATTGAACCTCCTCTGCAGACTGCCCTCTAGAATGTGGTTCTTGGTCGTCCCCACGTAGATGTTGCCATCGTTACGTCCTGGTCTCTGAGGGTAAATGGTGCGGACTCCACCGGAACTCTCGGGTAACTAATACATACGACTGGCATTTAATACACATAGTTAACATTTAATTTTAAATATGTAGATTTAAAACAATTTATCGATACATTGTGTGCAGATTTTTAACGGATTAGAGACATTATTGTAATAAAACATTACAATAAAATGCATGTTGAAATAAACTATTTGTTACTAGAAGCTTGGGCGTAACATTATACTGTAACTTTAAATAAATACAGTACATGAACATAATGCAAAATATTTTTCATCACTCTGTATTCGAAAATAGCCCATTTCCATACAGCTGAGATCTTCGAAAATCGACAATTTCCATACACCAACAAATAGTGATCAGCTGACTTTTCCTGCCATAAACATTACTTTTGCTACACAAACAATACTTTGCCTGACATCAACAACGTTACAACTGAAGTTTCCATCTGCTGAGTTTTACACTAAAATTTATTGTACAGCCGTATTGTGTTTAGACTATATTAGAAAAAGAATAGGTAAATATCAGATAACTTTTAAGTTTGATGGAGTAGTTTTTTAATCGTAAGCCACTAACACAAAAAACATAAAATCTACTTTATATTATTACACAGTGCAGTACCATTGCCATACATCCTCTGTTATGAAGACGGGGTAGCCTAGTTTCAAGTCTCATTTAAAGTCAGAAACGTAAAGATGAATAATAAATAACCGTGCGATTATTAATAAATTTAAAGTTGCTCCCGATTGTAAACGATACAGATCAAGCACTTACTTTAGTTTCTGTGATCTTTTTGTAGTTTTGTAACGAGTCCCACGCAATAATCTTTCTATCTTTTTCTCCCCCGCTCAGCAGAGTACCTTCTGACAGCATCACGAGTGATCCAATACTTTTATTGTGGGCCTGGAACAAGAAAGATAATGTTATTTAGAATTCAGAATCTGAACAAGTTGGGTTATTTATCTGTGTACCTGGAAGAAAACTAATATAAGTCTTATTTCGAAACAACCATACAAAACACAAATGGCTAATCAAAGTTATAAAATCGTAAAAGGATTAAGAAGTGACACTAGTATAACACCTAAAATCATATCATTTGAGAACGGTTAGTTTGTAGGTAACCAATTTAACTTACCTTTTTCTATTCAGTAATCTATTCAGTAAAAAAGTTGTTATGACTTTTAACTTTGAAGATTGTAACTTTGTTCAAACTATTTCCAATTTTCATCAGTTAATTTTATGGTTGCTGCTTATAGATCTTTAAGATAAGATACAAATTTCATTTTTGTTTAATATATAATGTGAGTACTTACAAGACTATTAATCTAAAAGGTTATATTAAGAGTAAAGGACAGATTACCGTAGTAAAACTATATAAACCTTTTGACAAAAAATGTAATCAATATTAATCTATAAACATGAGTATTTGTGCTAGTTTCCGCTTGTGCCCAATGGTTATCCACGACACTGAAATAATAATAGATTATACAAACTAAAATACAACTTTTATGAAATTTTTTATGCTCAGCTTTACATACGTAGCTTTACGCTTTGTAAGTTTTTAATAAAACTTCAAATTGAAACTATAATGTGGATTTGCAAAATAAATCATTTGTTGCTCAAACGTAGCTTATTTACAAAACCTAGATGTTATCATCAACACAAAACAAGTATTGTAAAACCTAAAGGAAAACCAATTTCCTATATAAAGTGCTTCAATAAAAAGCTTCAGTCAAAGGATTATTCTAGGAAAAGTCACCTCAAACTCCATTCGCACAAAGTACGCCCCGTCGCTGTCAACACTGTAGACCGTCACAAAGCCGTCACTATCAGCTGTCACTACGTCACCGTCCTGCTCGAACTGAAGACAAGTGATCTGAGTCCGGGATGGCTGAAAACATGAAATGTTGCAGAGATGTATCATGTAAATCAATAAAAAATTGAGTGACCCCTCGTTTTGAAGGTCCTGGTAAAAGAAAACTAACAACGCAAACTAGGGGTCTCTTTCTCAATCCAGTAAGAAATGGCAGGCAATTGAAATTCTCAGATGTTAAATTGAACTTACAGCTTTCCAATCTGGAGACCCACTGTAAATTTTGTAACGGCTCACACTAGGAAAACTAAACTCTACACACCTTTATGGAATGTTATGAAGTACTTGTTGAGCCTAATTGCTACTTGGTTTCCAAACCCAAAATGGGGGATTTTGGGGGAAACTCAAAAATGTCTAACAGTAAGACCCATCGAGTGAAGGTCCCTTCATTTTGAAGGTCGTGATAAAAGAAAACTAACAACCCAAACTAGAGGTATCTATCTTAACACAGTAAGATTTGGCAGCCAATTGAATATAAAATTGCTAGTTAATTTTGATTTCTAAAGATTTTAATCAGCTTCCATTTTTTACTGGATACTAGGTATGGGCCGTTAAAAAATTAACAGGGGGTCTCCAGACTTTTTACTAACCCTAGTAAATCATGTGTTTTGAGAACATAGAGCAAGTCACCAAACGACATCGTACTAGAATACGAGAAACCTCTCTTTAAATCAAGTCCCATTGGAAAGTGAAATAGGAGACTTCCATGTTAAGTTCTGTGCTGAGAGACCTCCTCCCAAAAGGAGAGCCTCTCAAGAAGCTCTGAACAATATTAGCTAACGTAGGAAAAAACGTGGTGCACCATGCAGCACAATGTCATTCAGCAAAAACTTTCAATGTAGTCGTCCTTACTAGTATTTTAACTTGTTGATGGTAAAGTATGAAGTTTATTTTTAATGTAAGCCTACTATGGCTGCTGATTTAACAGCTCAACGAAATACCTCTACGTTGCTAGAGAAAAATAGACTTAAGAAGTACTGATCTAACATATCTACTCACAGGCTTGATGATGTCCGTTCTCTCAAAGAAGCCATCCTTCCGTCTTGTCCAGAATGTGAGATGTCCTTTGCCGTGGGTAATGAGGAGGTTGTCATCAAGAGGATGAAATGCAGCACCTGTTAAGTCTTCTTGAAGAGTCTGGCGACAGTTAAAGTCATGTCTTACATTTGTGTGGTTTTATAAATATGACTGAGGTTAATCCGGTAATAATTTCTAATTCTGGTTATAAAGGAATTTATTTTAAAACCGTTGTAACAAATAATCAGTGATTTCGAGTTACAATACAAGCTACATATTTAGTTGTAAACTAATTTTCTTCGAAAACTTGTCCAAGTGACTTATAAATAAAGATGGTTTTACATTTGCAACATTTTATAAAAGAAACGAAAATATATACGATACTAACCTACAGTTGAAATTGTATACTTTAAAACTATTTAAGTATATATAGAATTTTCAACAAACATATTTGACTATCACATAGGTTGGTTCATATTGTTTTAAAACCCAGTGGTTTTTTCTACATGTACAGTAAAAACTTATTTTAAGCCCCGCTTAAGACAATTAAGGCATTGAATGTAAAAAAATAGGATTTTACGTGACTCAAAATGGATAGTTAGATCTACTCCACATTTGAATTTTTTCAAGAAAAGTTGACAAATAAAATAATAGCAGTGCAAAATACGAATACAGCTAAAGTAGCCCTTACCATGAATGATTACCAGGTGAAACAATAAAGAAAATAATAGATCACGAAAAAGAAACTGACACGTCATGTCATTCTGACAATTTATTCACAGTGAAATGAAATGTTTAGTTTATGGATGTGTTTTGCGGTGAGTGCAAAATATACATATTGTAGTCTGTATTCATATATTCACCAATTACTGGAGGGTCGACATGCAAAAAGTAGCCGAAGGCCTTGACTCGCAGCCCTCCCTTGTGGTCATTATTCAAAGTAATCTCATGGACAGACTGCAGCACACCCCACCCCGATTCAAACATGTCTTAGTCTTTAATTTTAAGCGGCATTATAACAATTTTTAATATTATTGAATCACTGGTTTTGGAGTATGGGAAAGTTAAAGAACTATCGAAATAATATTATGTAAATAGTTTACGTTGGGAAAATATCAATAGGATACGTGTGATCTGTACCATAATTAATTCAACATTTTCAATACAAATTAGAATTTTCCTCTAGATATGCTTGATAGTGTTAACGCAGTTCTTATCTTTATTATGTTGAAAATTTTAACTATACTGTTCAGGAATTTTAATTTGTTAGCTGTAATATGGAATTTACGGTAGTTAAAAAAACCATGAAAGTCACAAACATTAACGCTACAGAAACTTGAAACTCTGATTTTCGCAGGACTCAAATCAAAGGGGATGTCATATCTAGTGTAGCTCAGGATATTTAGGAGACGTGTGAACGAAAGAATCATAAAATTGCGTTATTACACTTAATCAGAATCCAAATAAACTAACTCTACTTATACATAAACTAACTGCAATCAATGATAATGAACGGCTGAGCAATGATTTAATAATTAATAATTATTTTTAGGGTTGATAAGAAGGACCATACTACACTTCATGCAAATAAAAACATCAAAGTCATGACGAAAAACGAAAAAATAGTAAAAAAAGAGATAAGATCAAAGATTCAACCGGGATGTAAACAGCAATGATGATTCAAAATAGTTTGTCTTAAAGTGAATCAAATTATACATTCCAAAAGGTATAATAAATAATCTGTTAAATTTTGATATTACCAAGCAAGGATGGTAAGTCAAGGTTCTGAAAAAGTGTTTATAGACCTAATAAATATGGGTTTTCAAAATGTCATGAAAGATCTTTATGTAAAAAAAAACTTCACAGTGGTATTTGAATGAATTTAAAATTATTATTTTTACATTCAGAAATTGAGAAATACCCTGACCCATAATTTTCTGTTTCTACTAGTACAGTACTTACAGCAACTTTACCCAGAAGATGTCCCCACTGCCATTGCCACACGCTTAGTATTCTCTCCCTTCCAGCGTCTACAGCCAACACGTAGCTTCCTCCGTTCTGAAACGGTTGCTACATATCATCCACGTCATCATACCAAGTGATCGCATGTTCTACACACGACATTTAAAGCTTGCGGAAAATCTAAAGTCAATGTTTACTATCTATTTCGTAAGCTCAGTTTTCTTTCGATAAGAAATATGCTTAATGGTTTCTGGGTCTATTCTATTAGCCGATAGAATAAGTAAAGTGATTATAAAAACTTTCTTGGGCTCATAAATAACTTTTCTAGGTTATTTGTTTTTGTTATTTTTTACTATTTTTTTTATGTATACAAGTGTACATTGTACATATTTATTAAGCTTTAATCAATAAGAATTTTCATTTGAGTGCACCTTTTTTGTTAAATGAAGGGTTAGCAGTACAGTACAAAGCCTTAAATCAACTGAATACTGATTTCGGTTTAATTTTTTATCTATAAGATTAGGGAATACGTTTAACAATAGTAAAGACAAAATAAACAAACTTTCCTGTGTAACCAATACTTGATACTCATTAGGCTAAGTAATGATAAAACAAAAATACCAAACTCAACTTCAACTAATCACTAGTTTCAGATGTTGCACTTGTCAAAAAGTTCCCAATTCAAGCAGAATAATTTAATACATATTTCAGACTGTATTATACTACATAGAAACTCCTAAGAAACAGAAAAGATCAGCACTTGGGAAAATATTTTCTATGTGCGTGGTGTAGCTGGTTTTGTTGATTTAACGACATATATAATTTTGCTAGAAAAAACTCATAGTGATACCTTACAACTATTTTAAAAGATTTCAAATTATTGTGATGATATAAATGTTATGAAATTAAGTGTTCTATAGTTTATGAGGACAAGCAAACGCAGCATTAAACTATCCTACAGGTCGTTGATGCTTACAAGTTGAGAGAAGGCCACGGCAGACACCCCCACCTCGAACTCTCCCATACCGAATACATACAGGGTGAGTAGTGTCTCCGTGCTCCAGATACGTATGTGGGCCTGTGTCTTGCGGTTGCGACCAGCACGTTGGCCGGACCCGACCATCTCCCTAGAGGGGTGCAGATCCATGCTGAAACAGAGTATACAGTCTAAGATATAGAAGTGGCCCATGTGACTGTTTCGGTAAAAAAAATCATAGTACAGACTTTACCACTTAAAAACTTTTTGACTTAGACAAAGGTCGAGTTGGTAGCGCGACGGACTAAAGTCCCTGGCAGCAATATCGAGGGTTCGGGTCTTCCATTTTTTATCATCACAGTTCAATATTGTACTGTATGGACAAACCCTTTGCTTTGCTGGACATATTAGACGTACAAGTCAAAGGCCAAGAACTTGAAAAACTTTGCACTCTATGTTTGTATCTTAGGCTTGAAAGTACGTGCTATTTGAAGGTCAACATAATGACTACGAAAGCTTGAATTGAATTTAAGTAAAAAATAACTACATAAAAAAGTGTATAAATTTATGGAGAGAGATTTTTTCCTACTTGATAAAGTCAGTATTTTACAGTTTGACTTCTAGAATTTATATCCATGCATCCCATAGCACGTCTAAAAAAACTTTATTTAGTAATTTATTTTCTATTTTTGCCAATGTAGAGAATTTTCATCACTTAAAGCTAGACCTGGAAACAGGTCCAAATGATTTTCAATGGGGCTACCTCCCAACAATATATTCTGTTGTTCCAATTTATCTACGTCAAGAGAATAAATGACTTTAGTACTAGTAATGAATTTAGTTAAGTGATATTTTGCTTTTGAATTCATGAAACAGTTTACTATTACTCTTCGTGCTGATGGAAATCACTTAAGTTCTGATGTTATTAAAGATCAGCATATTAAGATCTGCTGTATTTGCTACATCCTGTGGGATTCGGCTACATATTACTACAACTATCTACACTGAGACTACAACGTTACCACTGTATATCCTCCGTGTGTCCCGTGTAATGCCTCTGAACCTCCTCGTCACGGTCGTACAGGACCGCCACAGCAGCCACGTAGTACAGCAGTTCCCCGGTCGGCAACACCCACAGGTTCCTCCGGGAGTCCGTCCCTCGGTACCCGTACCTGACCCTCAGTCAAGGAACTCACAGGACATAAACACTTAGATTTATTAAAAAGGATAATGCAATAAACTGTTTTTGGATAAGCCAAAAGTGACCTCAAAAGTAGCAAAAGTACTTGGGGTTACCTAGATAAGTAAGTAGGTACATTAAGGACAGCATTCAACATTTTCTTATAAGACAGTTAGTTCATTGTCATCACCAACCTAGACGACACAAAAAAATATAAATATCCTTTTATGACTTTTAAATATAAGCAACATCTATTGTTGTATAAAATGGTGTGTTTATATTCAATCAATCTGTTGATTGCCTCAAGACCTTAAAATCTAAAAGTTTTTAACTTGAGCACTACTGAGGACCAAAACTTCTATACTCTAGATTCGGATTTTGAAGAGGAGCCCCTCCCCCGTAGTTTAAACACTTCAGCTGAATTACTGAATATATGTATTTTAAAATAAGAAAGTTTCATTTATGAAATATGTATATTAAACTTTTTTGGCACAACCAGTCCGGCAAAGCCGACCTTGATGAAGAAGAATGTAACTAGGTAATCAGGTAGGCAAGGACGTGAGAACGTAAAGAGCCCATTTTATAAGTTTACTAACTACTTATAGGTGTTTTTTTTTATTGAGATATTATTATGAGGGACCTATGTAGTTTGTTTTCTACTGGTGGTTGGGGCTACTACCATTTGAGCCGGATGCCAAGCAACTATTAAAGACATTATCACATAGCCAAAGGCAATATCTTACGGATGAAATTGTATTCTGGGTCTTCAGTATGAAAGTCCGAAACTGTGCCTACAATTTCAACCCCAACCCCCTTGATGTTAAACAAAAAGGATACACCCAGTCCAGCACGAGTCTTTTCTCTGGAGGCGAGTTGTCTGGAGGAGGGTGATGTAGAGGAGGGTAGAAGGTCCTCCTCATCCCTCTGATTGTCACCCTGACTGGCTCCTCTTTTAGAACTTCTAGCAGTGTGTAGTCTGTAGAGAACATTAAATATAACTATTGTAATACATATAAATAAACGTTATTGTTTAAGGCCCATGAGACTTGGCTATTATTGATAACCAACAGTTATTATTCTTGGAAATATGCTTTTAGTGACGTTGAAAATCTAAAATGAGTTTATTATCTCATAAATGAGTTATAGAAGGTTTTAGGGTAGAATTCGATGGAACTTTTTATGGAAGATTCGGTGCAGAACAGAAAATCTTAGAAAAAAATCATTTTTTTTCTTCTTTGAGTTCTCACAAACTTAGGTACAGGTTAACTACATCAATTTTTCACACGTAGTAATTTCTGGGGGAATACTGAATATTTTTTGAAATTTATACTACATACGTTCACAATGACCACTGATTGTATTTATTATTATGTAGTCTAATATTTTACTTCACTTATATAACACTGACCAGTTCCTCGCACCACTTCTGTGTCGTACAACGCTCTAGGTCTACTCTTACTCCTGGACCTTCTCTTGGTCTCGCCGTTGGGGATGTGGTTCTCTACGACCCCTATAGGAGCGACCAGCGCCCCCCGGGACCTCGACCTCCTCACCGGTGACCCCACGTGACCCGTGCCTAGGTAGAACGTGTCCACGTCCGAGAACTCGTTCCGCAACTGGGAGAAACTCCGGACCTGAACAAAATTTCCGAAGTTAACAGTAACTACATATTACAAGAATGGCCTTACGAAGTACTTAGGAACACTTACTCTACATCAACTTCAATTCTATCTTGAAGCTAAATACACTGGAAACATGTTATTCTTGTTGGAAAAGGTCTATGCATAAGGAACAGTAACTCCATTTCTTTCCCTTGTACAACTGACTCAAAACCATATTTTGCTAAAAAATGCCATAGTAGTGAAGCAAAAAAAATACATTAAGATGTATAAACCAAAAGGAGGTTAAACGAATTTGTGAACTGGGTAAAAGGAAATGTTATAAATATACCATCTGTTTCATCATATTAGGCCTAAGCAAATTGCTGTTTCTCCTAGATGCAAAATAAACTGAAAATATCCATGCAATTGTAGTTTATAAGGGCTACGCAATGGTATGCACTTCATTCCTCGGAGGTATAACCTTGAAAATGCGAAGAAAGGTTACAGCGTTTCGTATTTGTCTGAGATTCAGATAAGTATTTAACTCTATTGTTAAATCAACTAAGAAAGGGTTGCTTATTTAAGTTTGACATAAATCCTTGCCTCTTGTCCAGACACAGTGTACATTCTTTTGGCACCATTCATTTTGAGGACCTGCCCCAAATCTTCTAGTACCTCTTCAAACGGCTGTGTAGTTCTTAAGTTGAGCAAAACCCGACACTGAAAAGCATAACACTTGATGAAAAAGTATAAATATGTGAGTGCTCAAACTTGTATGTTGATTATTTTTGAATTTGTTAAGCTATTGGTATATTTTGATGTAAATAGTTTCGAATTTGAAAGTGCGAGTGAAGGTCAGTGCGTCATGGTCACGTGATGACTCTTAGGTCACGCGAATTTACTTCAAGGACAATTTTACAGGAACTAAATTAAATCACAATGACTTTAGATTATTTATTTTCTATATATTTAATAAGCTACATGTAAAGTTTGTTCCAGATAAGTTTTTTTGTTTGTTTTAAGATCCACCCGTACATATAATACATCACAACACGTGTCTAGGTGTTCAGATTGGCAAACTGGCATAAGATTCTTTTATTTAAACCTTATAAGTCTAACAAAAAAAATCTGAAAACACGTTTATTGTTGTTTTTTTGCAATGAAAACATAACGTATTTAGACTTTTATTGTTGTTGTGGGCATTTTGAAGATGACAGCAATTTTAGTCCCCTAGCGGGTTTTCTAAACGCCTTAAAAAAAATGTTGGCAAAATGCAATTATAAAACTTCTAATGCGTACATCCATGGACATTTTGGACAAGGCTTCTGAAGACGCCAATGCTGCGATCCACAGAACAAATATGGTTTTCAAAGACAATAAAGGCAGAAGAATTAAGTAAAAAAAAAACAAACAAAAAACACATCTTACCTTGATGTATTTACTTTCAAAAGTGAAATCTTAATATCGGATGAAATCACATAGGTTTCCCTAATATCAATGATTTGTAAGCTATATTGTATATATAGAGTATATTGTACGCTAACTGATTTTAATACTATCTTAAATTGACCCAGCTGTCCAATCCAAGACTTTGAGAAACCAGTTTTAGCAAAATGTGAATGTGATATCCACCCCTATCAATACGCAAAAGGTACACTACAACTGTGGTTTGCAAATACAGTTGGAAATCGTTGTATACACTATATATGTAAACATACCTGTACGGTGTGGTCCATATGGTTTATTATCCTGATGACTCTTCCAGAGCTTGGCTTGTGCGGCGTCATTGGTCCGTTCCCTCCGCCCGGCGGCGGTGCTTCGCTCTCCACCAGCGACGCCTTGCGACTCAGAGGCTTCGCCCAGCCTGGAGAAGAAGCTGGGGGTGCAGCTGGTCCAGCGTACCACGTTCCGTTCTTCTTGCCGTAGCTTGCATTCTACAACAAGGTTTGAAGTTTATACTTTCCTTTGAAACATTTGTGTATGCTGCGACTTGACGATTCACAACTCCTAGACATAAAACTACCAAGGACACATTCGATCACTTTAGTGAACTGGGTGATTAGAAAACGCTGGTTTTAATTGTCAATCGCACCGACTGAAAGATGGTGCAAGACATTGTCCTTCTGCTCCAAAGAAGCATCCTAGATAGGTGGAGACTCAACTTAAGTAGGTTGAGGAGGTCAACTGGTTGAAACAGTCCCAGAGGGCTAGCAACGAACCGAGCCGACACTATCAATTCCCTCATTCTAAGACATACCAAACAAATCCAGTTTAGCCACTGACAATGTCTTTCCAAAGTAAAGGACACACATCTCGCAGCAATCTCCAACTGACACTGAGGATGGTACCGAAAAGCACTATGGATTCTATATGATGACGCAGTTTTAGAGATCTTAAGATTTCAGCGAGTCAATTTCTGGACGAAAAAGTCCTTCACTATCTGATTCAGAAATAGCGCGTATTGTCACGATACGTACGCAACGTTGAGATAACAGTATCTGCAGAAGCGAGTTTTAGAACAGCCTTAACGCACGGATCAAGATACTGAACTAGAATTATGATATTGACTGTGAAACGTCCGTGTTCTAGATTCGTTTTGTAACCATAAGTATTTTGGTTTAACGCAGCCGAAACTACTAGAGCGTAAGTACTCGGGTCGTAAATAATCGTGAATTTAAAACTTGTAAAACAGACTGCAGTTTACGTGTTGGTAAATAAACCTTAGAGTACTTTGAAAAGCTAGGCGTCGAATGAAATCACTATTTAAATGAGTTTGAAAACAACTAAGAACTAAGAAATCGTCTAAAAGTCAGTACAAGTTTTATAAGCTCTCAGTATTAAATATATGACTTTCTAAATGAAATCCAGTTTTGTATAAAAATGCAATTCATCTTTTGGTCAATACAACAAAACATACATTTTTAATCTATTTCCATTTAAGTATTTTTAGAAGGTGTAATTAAACCTTGAGTATTTTTTGAAACAAGAAGTTAACAAATCATAGCTAAAACATAAGTAAAAAAATTAAAACCTGCAACATTTGAAACTAATAATTTAACCTACAATGCCAACAACTCCTCCAATACCTAAAATAACACACCCTAAAGAGGGACGATCTTTGGTATATTTTCTTCCTTAAATCAATAGGTTTGGTCGCTAAATGTAGCTCTCCTGAACCCCATGCAATTTATTTCTGACATATTGCGTCTTGTCCAATTCATTATTGTTACTTAGAAAACCTTAAGTTTCAAGTACACTTCTCACGTAATTCATTTGTCATTCCCAAGACGATGAACATTATAAAAAAAAAAAAAACAACAACAACATTGTTTTACAATGCTATTGAGTTGAAAATTAGTCTTTCTCTACGAAATTTGAATAAAGCCTTTCTAAATGTTTAAAAATATCCCAAATTCCTATAACTTTCCTATAACCTATTACAAATTTTATCAAGTTACTTACCTACAGAGTCAGTGATATACTTACAGCGATAATAGTATATTAAATTAGCGTATGAAAATACATTTTACAACGCCCAAAATAGGGCCTAAGAATCGTTTTTAAGAACTATTTATGCGCATCGTCTGTCAAGCAATACCTAAAAAATATATTTGTTTGAAAAAAAAATTTTTACACACAATTTTTACTCACCTAAATCAGGAAAACAAATTCAAGAATTTCAAAACTGTGTCAATCGCGGGGGTTCAAACTCGGCCGCGGTGACAAGTCGACTAAACCGTGCGACTTGTGAACTTGTCCTAGTAATTAGTGGTCGTGCGGTGTCCTTAGTGCCTTACGCCTTCTGATAGCATGCGACCTCCCCCTTACCTTCATCCTGGCAATCAATAAGTGGTATGCAACTTTTCTGCCACTTCAACCACACTTTTTGTGGGGTAAATTTGAAGAGTTAATAGTTTTATCCCGAAGTTAGACTTGAAGTAAACTTTGGAGGTTAGTGGTTTTTGTAATTTTTTTACTTTGGGATTTATATTTGTTTTGTGCGTTTACGCTTGTGTTTGCAATGTAACTGTTTAAATTATTGTGGTTACTTTCTAATGCAGACCTTCTTTGGATTGCATCATTCACTGATGGCTTGATGGACAAATAACATTGGGAGTGAGGCGTTCTAGTAGTAAAGCACGGGATTTTTGTCCCCGAGGTCTCGGGTTCAAATCCAGCATTTCACAAATGGATTTTTGTGTACGTGATAATGCCGCAACCTCTATGCTTAAAGTATGCCTGAAGTAATGTGTAAAAACAATCCCAAACTATAGCATAGTAAAAAAGACAATTGGCATATGAGTAGAACCAACCGTACTTATTAGTATTGAATATTTAGAGACACAATCTCGTGGTTAATAATTGACCTAAAATTGAGTTAATGTATCCAAAACTAAACCAGTTAGTTAATAAAATAAAGTAAATAATAAAGTAGTTAATTAATAAAGTAAATACCAAAACACATACAATCATATTAATCGTATAAGGCGTGTTCTTTATTGTCATCACGGGGTTCAAGTACCGGGATTGTACAGGTAAGCCTATACCGGTTTAGAGAGGGTAACATGGAAGGTAATTAATTGACCTATAGCAGCGTTTGCAAACAGTTTGTGATTATGCATAATCAAAAGCACCAACCCTTCATTAGAGAACCCAATTACTAGCTTCTTGTCATGCAATTCTTGGTTTTTAATCACCCTCGGTAAACTTGGGTCCGAGGAAAATATGACGCAAGATTGTCATTAGATAATTAGAAGGATTTGGTTTTGTAAATCACAAATTTAAATATACCTATCTTATCGTTAAGAGGTGTTAATGTCTCAGATATTTTTGTCTGTGATTGTTTAATAAATCTTTAAACTTACAATAATTTATTATTCAATATCTTTTATGATTAAATTTCATACTTCACTATGTCAGAGAATTAGCTGAGAAAATAAATAAGTAAGCTAGTTGTTTTTTTCGTTTCAATTTTTTTATATACGTTACCGATAAACACGTAACTGTTTGGACAGGATAATGTTTAGTTTACAGCTTTTATTCTTGGTAAGCGTTTAAGTCTAACTAATGACAAACATAATTAATATTGGTTATTTTAGGCATCTGTTTTTGGTTCAGATTTTTTTATATTTTAACTTTACTATCAGGGTGAGATGTAAATAATTGACAGAGAGCTGTAATTCTTAAATTTACAAGTACAAATAAATACTTAAAAATCCATCAAATACATCTCTAATTATTTCCCCATTTTCAAGCTAACAAGCAATACCAAACATTGTTTATTGTAAATGAATAATTTTCACACTTTAAAACAAGTGAGTATTGAATGGAATTTCATAGCAGCAGTAGAAACTATTATTAAACGAATTGGGCTGTAGAATATGTTAGTTCTGTTGAATTATTTTCATCGATCATGTATAAGAAAAATACAGTTCAAATACCAGTGTTAATATAACACATACTTCATATGGTTTTTTTATGTTGAAGTAGAAATGAAAGTTGAGTAAAACACGTATTTAGTCATTTTTAAATTGCAGAAATCGTCAGCAAATAAAAAGATACAGTATTTCAGTATTCATATTGAACATTATTTTGACAATAACTTTCAACAAAATCCTAATTCAACAGTTTTAAAACTGCGTATTTTTTATGTTTTCAAAGACCATGTGCATACCAATGAACGAAAATAAAATTAAAAACACTCACAGCTTTGAAATTTATCTGTCTAGTTGACCTTCCACAGAATTAATCTTAAAATGTATATTATTCAAAAATGAGTTTACACCCAACAAACTAGCCTTTATGCAAACACATTTTAACATTTTAACATTTTATAAACATACACATACAGTCATACAACAAAATTCCATATTCAAGTTCTTAAAAGTAGCAAATCCTGGATTGAGAATTAAAAAAATAATTCTATTAACATTTAAAAAATCATTCAATAAGCATATACCTTACCGCATATTCAACGACGGGATAAGAAATCGTCAGATAAGCGCTGTCTTCTGCAAACATCGCCATGAAGTTTGTGTCAAATAATGAGCAAGGTGTCTGTACACATCCTTGGAAAACCCATCTCGCTTACACAGAATTCTTTACAACCCGAACAATTCTTGATACATTTTAAAACTGTTTTAAAATTTTAAAGTATTTCAAAGAATAAAATTGAAATATAAGAAAAGTATATTGTAAATATTTGTTAATAATATAAGGTTGCCTTGTTTTAAATATTTAAAAAATAAAAAAAAACACCACAAAATTTCAAAGACTTCGATCAAGTCACAATCTCAAAGTCCAAATGCTCTATCACTTGGATCTGTAAAAACTCAAACACAAATCTTGGATGACAGCTAGCGCGCGAAAGGAATGCCTTTAACGCTCATGTGAAGCATGAAGGTCAAAGTCAAGCGCATGCGCGCCAGCGTAAGTACTTCGTGACAAATTAATTCACCAGGCGCAGCATGGCATGCGGGAAAACCACGGGGTTTATAATAAAAGCCAGCCTTCACAAGTCGAAACGCCCAGGAAGTATAGAGTAATAGAGTAAAAATACACGTTAGGGCTTCGATAGGGGGTGGTGTGTGTTGTTTCAGGGTCGGGATGTTATTGGTGGTAATTTTGTGTTTTCGTGTGGTTAGGGGTTGATAGTTTAATATGCAGTTTTAGATTCTTCCTTGAAGGATAAGATAATATTTTTTAATAGATGTTGCAACACTGTAAACATTACATTTTTAAAATTTTGGTGGTGCAGGTTTAAAGCTTTTAAGGAAAACTGGTCTGATATATTTACGAAAGTCTATTTTTGTAAATATTGTGAACTGTTAAGTAAAAGTTAAAAAGGTTACGTTAACATAAAACATTGTGGTTTATAACTAAAACAAAACAAGTCCTAACAAAGTTCGTGTAAACTCGTTAATTTCCACTAAAA